TACCACAAACTGTATGCTACGAAAGTATTTAGAAAATTTCAATTACCAAATACGTAATGTAGTCAGATATTTGAAATACCAATTACAAAATATATTTTTAAACGGTAATTAAGATATAAATAAGCACGTATTTATTTTCAATTGCAAGCTATTCAAACACTGCCCAGTCTGGAGTATTACTTATGTACTAGGTTAAATAGTTTTATTTTTTATTACAAAGTATATGGTAAAGAAACTCCAGTTATTACTTGACTATATTTCATAGTTTTACACTAAAAAATTTCATCATACATGGGATTTTACTGCAGAAAAAAGGTAACGCATACGTATGTTCGAATTTTCGTAATCCTGAAAATCGATTTATAACGAAACCATAATTCTTTTAGGGTATTCTGGATTAGAGTTTATGACAAAGAAAAGATTATGTTAGGTTAGTGACATTATACCTATCTGTTATTAAGCGATGTCAGATGTTCACTTAATTTGAATTTCTTATTTTACGTATATAACCATTGACTTACAATTATATGGACGTCGGGTCCGCGCTAAAAAGTGTCCGAACATATAGGGCGTTAAAATCGTATACAGAGCGTCATTCACGCTTTAGTCTTCGTTTGTTTCTTCTGACAGCGAAGCAATCAAAATTAGACAGTACTGCGATGACATTACAATTTAAATTCAACGTTTTAGCTTTTTCATATTCCTTTACATGTCACTACGTTTAAATAGGTTGACTTGGGACATTTTTTTCGTGGTTTTTGTATTAGACCCGTCGTCCATTTATTTGTAAGTCAATGTATATAACAGTTAGTTTTGTAATATTCCTAAAAAAACGTTTTCAGCATTATGAAAATTCGACCAAACGTTATTTCGAACTTTTGATAGGTAACCCAATAAAAATCCACATAGTACTTAATTTTAAAACAATGTGGTGTAACGTGTTAGTCTATATTATTTGTCACCGTGAAGAGAGTAAAAGTAAAGTTCTCATTAAACTTGCCCGTACAGTAATTAACATTTAGGCACTCCGCCGTCATAGCTGCCACTGCGCATACAACAGATATATCAGAGCATTATTTACTGGACCACATTCGTTACTGACACGCAAATTAATTTTAGTATTTATGTTTACTGTTCAACGCTTAATTGATTACTTGTTAGTGTTTGCTTTGAATAGACCTGTTCGGATGTAGCGTGTCATCTATGTGTTGATTTATAAATGTGGCACTTCATAAATAATAAATGAATAATAGCTCCCAAATGGGTACGTGTTTTGGCAATACGCTTTACAAATGTTGGTAGTTATATGCTTCAACTGGATCTAATTGGTCCCATGTTGCATCTATTATGAATACAAATTGCCAACGGTATAGGGAAGTGGAATTTGTTGCCAAAATTTATTTAAATCATTGGATATATCTATAGATAAAAAGTATACTTAGTAAATCAAACATAACATTAAAGGACATACAAATATTTGTTAAATTTTTATTGAATATCGATCGGATCGAAGGAATTTTTTGTGAGTGTTTTTTCTGAGTGTTCGATCTTTGTATTAATAATTATAACAAA